CCCAATATGATGAATCATAAGCCCACACGCACAACATTATGGTTTAGTTTGCTGTGCAAATATAAGCAGGTTCTATGCTTAGGTTCCATATCAAAGATTTGTGCAATATAAGTAATCCTTGATTAATGACCTCTTGTTCAGCAATTGTTGGAAATTATGATGGTGCTAAATGAGTGGGGATTATGACCAGTCTTCAAAGTTCTGCTTCTGTGATCACAACACCCTTGTGACCATGTGAGCCCTGGTATCAAACTCACGGCGTCACGGCGGCTTCATGTGACATATCGTGCCTTTTTTTCGCCTTCGCTAAACTGGGTGTGGGCGTGGCCAGCACGTGATGTATCTGGCCTGCAGGCCACAAGTTTGACAGCCCTGATGCATGCAAACTCTGCCCTCAAGCTCAAGTTCGAACGTGACAGTGCTAAAAGTTGACTTAGCCTTCCATCCTTCAGAGGTCAATAAAATGAGGACCCAGATTCTTGGGAGCAATATGCAAATAATACTTCTAAATTGTAATCCAACAAAAGTGTGCTGCAAATTGCTATTTACATAAGCCTAAATGCTTTCTGGTCTGTTGGCAACTGGCTAAAGTAGAACTAAACAAATTTAATATTAAAATAGGTTAAACAGACCACAAAAGAATATTAAAATAGGTTAAACAGATCATAGGAGGAGGCTAAACATCTTAGAAAAAAACCATAGCCAGATGAGGATTAACAGGGTAGAAACAGACCAAGCTTCCTGATAAAAGATAATTCTATTTGAATTAATATATCAACACCTTTCTGAAAGCTTTGTATTCAACACACCTGAGGTAGGAGATAAGCTAGAAATTACACCAGGTATTTTTAAGTTGCTACAGTGTAAAAACTATGTGGTAAGCCAATGTTTTTCAAAAATGACAACTTTGAGATACGGTATGCGGACTTCAACTCCCACAATTCCCCAGCCAGCATGAGAAATTCTGGGACTTGAAATCTATACATTTTAAAGTTGCCAAGTTTGAAAAACACTGAACTAAACTGAAATAAATAATAGACTACAGCAACAGCCCTTGTAGTCATCACTCTGCTTTTAGGAACTTTCCCCAGTGCCAAACAACAGTGTTGTTAACAAACTATGCAGGGCGATATTTGCTCTCAGTGGCAAATCTCACCTGTACTTATTGTATTCCGAGTCATTTTAGTCACGTGATTTCTCTACCACATAATGGTTGATACCGCCTATCTATGACTTTACACACCCTGAGCCTTCCCTGACATAGTTTAGGAATAAGAAATGCTGTGTTAACACTGCTACAGCTGAGAATTACTTAAAGCTGTCTCACTCATGGGCTGGGGATGAAATAAAGTTGGGGACAAGTTAGAAAAAAAGAGCAGCTGCCAAGGCATATATGTACTGTGGGTAGGTACAAGGGGGATATAGCCTTCTAATGGTCTTAACAATAAATTATACTCTCATTTGTATCCAAAGATTTCCTTGATCTGAGCTACCCATTTCTGAATGGTTAAACTCTCTGGTCTCTGGTAATTTACATAGAGATTTATAAAAGGCAACACTTGCAGGGAAAGAAGTGGTAGTAGGTGATTGGCTTCAATCCAAAAACCTTATTTTGTCTTTCGGCTCCACCCATCACCATTATTTCTGCCAGTGAAAGATTGATGGCAAGACCCCATGAATTACGATTAGGCTCCAAAGTCTAAAATCTCCATTGTATAATATGTGCTTGACAGTTACATAAACTTAGTTTTGAAAGCACTACCTGGGTTTGTTTATTTTACCTTTGCCTTTCTTGGCTTGAGAACGATAAGCCACAAGTATGCATTTACATTCAGTGTTTAATATGGGACCAGTAGGGAAATTCTGAGAATTGAAGTCCAGGCATCTTAAAGTTGTCAAATTTGAAAATAAAGGGGGTTTGGAAAAAAACAGGGAAAATTGGATTTATTTAGTTCATGTAATCTTTTCTGCCATACTCCATTTGAGCCTAATACAATTCTTCAAGGACAGGCAGCAGTCCCAGTTGGTATGCAGCTTCCAAGCCCCTTGTTATAGCCCTCAAAACCCATTTTAGCTAAGATTGTAAAAAAAAAAAAAGCATTAAGAGAATTGTCATCCATTTGAACAGGAGTTCTTGCAGGTTATGGTGCAACTTGCATAAAAATAAATAAGTGTACTCTCAGTTGCACTGTTGTGGCCTAAAACAGTACATCAGAAAATATGTCAGAGATAAAACAGTGATATCACAATTACACTCCTAAGAGAATAATTCTAATGACTTCAAATTCCCACATGTACGATGCTGACTTACCAATTTTGTAGTCTTCTGACCACAAAGATTAAGATTCCCCCAAATACTGCTTACCTGCAAGGAGTTATAACATTATAAGATATAGGGGAAACAAAGATTTTACTGCACAGATTATCAGTAAAATGTTATATGTACCCATAAGGCTTCCTACATCCTACTCTTATTTATGCATTTTTACACAATCTTACCACTTTCATCTCTGTTTCTCTTCCGAGTATTAAGCTGCAGATCACCTGTTGCTGTTACTATTAGCACAGGGACATTAGCAGTCTTGCTTGCTGAGTTCAGGAAAATGTCATGTAGGTTTCTTGGAAGAAATATGGAAGTGATTTACAATTGCCTTCTGGTTTTTCAACTCAACAATCCGGGGCCTCTCCTGGTGGGCTCCCATTCAAATAATATCCAGATCAAACCTTGCTTAGCTTCTAAGCCCAAACAACATTAGCCAGATTCTTTTATCATACATCTTATAAATCAGATTTGTACAGAATTTATTAATACTTTTAAACACATTTTATGTTTAATTGCTGGATGCCGTGAGTGCCTCCCTGGATAAAAAGGTGGATATAAATAAAAACAAAAATGAATAAGCATTAGGTACAATGTGCTTTGATTGGTTGTCACACTATAATGTAACAACTAAACCTTACTTCCAGAGGGTGTACTCTCCCCCTCCCTCCTTCCCCCTTTCACATACACACACAAATTGTTGTAAATTAACATTTTTCAATTAAACTTTGCTCCAGAGCAAAGCAGATGATTTGCCCAGACTTTTAAAAAAGCCTTATTTGGCAAGCTATTAGACATTTGTTTTAACTTGTTTACTGGTAGACTTGTAGTCTCTTCAGCAACATTTCCATACAACTCTGGCAACTATGCTTTTCTCCATAGTTTCGAAATTCAGATGGGAAGATGAGAACTGAATAACAAACAGGCCCAGAATATGTTAACTCTAATAATGATGTATGGCATGTTTACTTTTATAACCGAACAGAGTGTGGGTTTTGTCAACGTAGTCAATATTGACAAGGTATTCTTTGAATTCTTGTACAAAATTGCAGCTGTCGAGTCTGGCTAATTCCTTGGCAGCTCTTCTTCCTGGACTAGAACTTTAGAACTGTAAGGCAGAGGAAACAATTCAGTCTTTCCCAGCCTGGCAAGTTCCAGATGTACTAGGATCAACATTCCTGCAGATATATAAAAACTGTAAATAAAGCGATTGGCAATGTTGATTAGGAACAATGAAGTCCAACCAGTGTTTCTCAACCTTGGCAACTTTAAGATGTGTGGATTTCAACTCCTAGAATTCCCTGATCAGTCTTTTCCCTCGCTGGGAAATTCTGGCAGTTCAAGACCACACACAATACCATTGCCAAGGTTGAGAAACACTAGTCCAACACATTTAGAAGCCATAGGCCTTTAATAAATATGTTGGCAACTTTTAAGATTCGTGGAATTCATCCCTCAGAATTCCAGAGCCAGCTAGGTGTTAAAAGTCCAGACATCTTAAAAGTCCACACATCTTGTCTAAGTTGAGAAAATGCCATAGGCAGAAAAACATTAAGATAAACCTGACTGTAACTTAATGGCCAGTGGGTAGGAAATCCAGATTTGCAAGATTGGCTGAGGAGGTAGCTTTAAAAGAAGACTACTGTATTTCCCTAATCCAATTGCATAACAAAGAGTTCTTGAAGATCCAAACTCAATCTTTTGTGTGATGTGATTTTATCGTAATAAAGGTATTGATCATGAATTTATGTTGATTATTACTCACATCTATCACATCTGCAAGATTTTTATTCAATAGTTGTGTAATATATTATTTATATACATATCTACATATCTGCTTCTTAGAATTTATATTTTGCGGCTCTTATAATTTATTGATTCAAATAAGACGATTCATTTTCTTTTGACTATTTGCTAATATTTGTCCATTGCCTTTTAAAAATCTATGTTTTCCTATTCTGGATGCAGATCTCTGGCAAACCAGGCAAATGATGCCCTTTGCTTTTATTACCTTGACAGAATGCTTTATCACTTTCTTTATGACTAAGTCATCTACCAACAAAGGAAGATATTTCGAGTTTGAAATTGGGACATAGGTAAACAGTAGAACAGCAAGCAGACATACTTTAAATTGAATTATAGCTAGTAATCCAAAGCAAATGTCAAATGAGTGTTCTGAAAATATTTTAATTGGCATTTATTTTAATTGGCATCTAGAGAAAGCTTTTCTCTTCTTAAATACTTCAAATGGAGAGCCATCTAGTGATGTCAGTGGATCTGGATTACATCCAAGATCACTGGAGCTCAATTGTAATCAAGTTAAGACCTGCTGCAAGGGGTCCGGAGCGTCATTCTTTCTCTTACCACAAAGTGTTCAGAGGGAGGGGGAGCAGGGTGAAATTAGAGGTTTCAAATATTATTGCATTCAGAGGCAGTATCAAGAGCAATATGAACAAAAATGCCCAGAATCATGTTTGGCAGGAAACAAAGGAACTGATTTGCGTAGTGCAGAAATCCTAACCAGATTTTTCCACTGCACCCTCTACCAGTTGTACTAAAAAAAAAAAAAAAAAATCCTCAACCAACCAACCAGCTTTCTCAGCAATAGGCAAAATAATTGGTTATGCACATTAAGGAGGCATCATAAACCATTCCAGGACAAAGGACACAGAAGACTCCATTTTTAATATATAAAGTCTACCATGTTTATTCAATAGATACACATTAAAGACAACCCCTGAAAACCAGGAACACAACTTCAACACTCCGTTACGAAGTGTACATATGTGTATATATATAAATATGCGTAAAAGCACCTATACACACATACCTAGTTCACAACTGCTTCTGCTAAACCAGAGGGTGTGCGCACGCATATAGATATATACACACATTTTATTGTTTTTATTTTTAAAAGCTTGCGATTAGCTACCTTCTGTTAACAGAGTACTTCATCCACAATCTCTGATAATGTTCAGTTGAAGCCAGCTGCTTTCTAGTTTTTAGATTCCCTTTTTCTTTTTTTTCTTTTTTTTTAATGGCTTCATATAGATTGTATTTCTAGGTTTTTGTTTTTTGTTTTAAAAAACAACTACCAATGCTCCAAAGGAGAAGAAATTGCAGAGGGGAGGGGGCAGACAAGGGTCATCAGAAATGAAATTTTCCTCTTCAGCTAATCAGAAACGGGCAAGAATTTATTTCCTTCTTTGGGGGTTGGGGCATATGGACTTGCCATGACATACTGGAATCAAGAAGCAAATCTCTGGGTTCTCTTCTGGCTGGAAAAAAATCCCCCTCCCTTGTCCCTCCCCCGCCCCCCAATTACCCGGGTAGTTTTCCTAGAAAGCTTGCTGAAATATGACCCCCTTTCTGAAAAATCCAGCTTGTAAGGAGAGGAGGAGCTTTGGGAAAGAAGCGGGGGGTGTGTGTGGAGAGGAGAGGAAAGCTTGGACCAACGTGTTCGTCCTCAGGAGACTCCCAGCCGTTACAAAACACACAGGGTTTGCCCACAGCCCAGTCAAAACAAGCAGGGATAGGATTACAGTACCACGGCCACCTGCCTGGGAACACAGCAAAGACACCAAAACACGGGGTGGGGGGGGGGGCAGGAAAAAAAAAGGTGGGGGGTGACCTTCGCGAGAAAGCGGGAGAAGGGTGATCCAAAGCGGATTATATATTATCAAGTGTCCAGCAGCGTCTTGGCCAGGGTGCCCACCCCTCCTCCTCCCCCCCTTCCGATCGTGTACGTGGACAAGGTCTTTACTAGTCAATTGCCCATGTCCTAACCCGCGCACCCAGGCAGGCGCGGGCGCGCGCGAGGATTTCACGCCAGACAATGCCACACGCGGGGATGGTCCCTTCTTTGCGCTTCCCACACCGAGGGCAAACAGCGAGAGAGGTAGGGTTTTTCGGCGCCCCGGTGGCAGGCGCCAACTCCAGCAACCGAAGGCAGATCCGGATCGTCTGGGCAGGGAGACAGACGGGAGACGGGACCGATCGACGGCCGGACGGGAGGCTGGAGAACAACCGTCCGGAGCCGCAATATAGCACCTCTGTCTTTTGCTTTGTTGTGTTGTGTTTCCCCGAAAGAGAAACGGTAGCAGATCGTCAAGTTGGCTCAAGAGTAATGAAAAAAGCGACCAAGAAGCATCGCTTGGAAGTTCAGGCAAAGCCCCCGCGAGGGTCTGCTTCAAGTATCTGGCCGTGGCTTGAACCGCCTCTGGGGCTTTGTAGTCGCAGCCGCTGGCCGGCGCCTCGGCGACCCTGTCCCCGCGAGTACCGGGATCAGCGGAAGCCAAATAGACGAGGTCGCTTCTCCAAGGCGCCTTCCCGGGAAGAAGCGGGGCCAGGCGAGGTTAGGGCAAAGCTTGCAAAGAGGCGGCGACGGTGAAGGTTGAGCCCGCGTCTCCGTCGCTGCTACTGCAGCGGCAGCAGCTCCCGGCGGACGAAACGGAGCCCGGGGAGCCCGTGGTAGAAGAAGTCTCGGCCGCCGTCGAAGCCGCCAACTGCAACCTCCGCACCGCCTCCTTGATGAGGTTGCCGGAGAGGATGAGCTGCTGCAGGAGGCGGTGAGGGTCGCCGTCCTCTTCCTCGTCCTCGTCGTCGCCGGCGGGCAGCAGCGAGCGGTAGCGGTGGCGACGGGGTTGCTTCCTCCCGGCTCGAGCGGAGCTCCGCAACCAGCCCCGGCCGCACAGCTGCTTGGAGACCCGCGGGCTGCCCTTCTGGTCCGCAGTGGGCGGCGGCGGCGGCGGAGGGGGCGGCGGCGGCCAAAGGAGCAGCGAGGGCGATTGGCGCGGGTGGGACGGCGGGTGGCGGTGGTGTAGCGAGGCTAAGAAGCCGAGACTTCTCGGGGACGAGTAGGGAGCCACTCGGTCCCGGCCGTGGTGCCTCGGGAGGAGGCGAGGGGCCGCCGGCGTCCGGTGCTGGGAGCTCAACTGCAGCACCTCGCCCAGCTTGGCCACCAAGGCGTCCACTTCTTTAGAGCCGCTGCCGGCCGTCCCGGCACCGCTCTGCAATGAGACGGCGGCGCGCTCCAGGAATAGGAAGCGTTCTCCGCCCGGCCGCCGGCAAGGCATCGCCGCTGCTCTCCTGCCTGCTTTCCCCTTCGCTTGGCACGCGTGGCTGTTTCTGGGGCGGCCACCGCAGCGACGCCGCTCGTAACTGCCAAGCGAGCCCTCTCCCCGCACGCTCCCTGCCTTCTCCAACGCCGCTGTTGGTGCTGCGGTTGGTTTGTAAACAATGGGTGACGCGCGCCGGGCGCGTCCAACCGCTCCCACCGAAAGAGGGGGGGGCGACACCTCAGGGGGTTTCAAGTTGCCAAGAGAACTGCGATTCTTTCTCCCGGTGCAGAGTCTTCCGTGGTACGTCGTGTATCCCAGGTGGATATAAGAGTGCGAAAGCCGTGAAAAAGGAGATTAGTTAAAAAGGTTCCTTCCTCTGCGCCTTTCTTTCCTCCCCCGTATGTAAAGTGTCTGCGTTCCCGTGGACTCGCCTGCTATTTTAACGTCGGCGGCCGGGGAGTGTGGGCGGGGTCTCTGTGATCGAGAGCAAGGGGCGGGGCGAGGGTGGCGTCATGATCCTGGATTGGAGCCAGCGGAGGTCAGCATGGCAACAGACGTACACACACAGAAAGAGAGAGAGAGAGAGAGATACACAGAGCCGGCATGTGTTGTAAAGATAGGATCTAAGGCAGGAGGGACGGCTGGATTCGTTTGTAGCATATTTGCCTTGGAATAAACGTACACTAATTTATTCCACTGGGGTTTTACTCCCAAGTAAATGTTTAGAAGACTTGAATTACTACTAAAGCTGCGGGGGTGGGGGGTGGGGTGGGGACCTTAGTAAAAAGTCCCAGTAGGCTTATTGAGTAATAGTGCTTCTGCTAAAGCATCTTTGCCAGCAGTTACACTCTCTTTTTTTCATTTCCCATAATGCCTCAGGATAAAGCTTTATGCTAGGCATTATGGGAAATTAAGGCTGCACGTGCTGGGATTGATCTCAAAACTTTGCATCTGATCTTCTTTGTAGTGGTTATCCAGCCTCTAGTTAAAAACTTATAATAAAGAGTCTGTGGGAGTCGGACCTTCCCAGAGAGATTCACAATTGTTTTATCCTTTTAATGTTAGGTTGAAATTGCCTTTGTGACTATTGGAACAGGTTGCTTTGGCCCTGTGCTCTGCTACATCATTTGTTTTATTTGGAAGTAGAAAGTAACATATATAAAACTCTTACATAATTAAACACTAAAAGAAAAAGGTCTGGAAAATTTTAAAGAACTCAGAAGATTTACTCAAAGGCTCCTCCTTTTTCAAAATAATTGAAATGTAGACTACACAGGTGTTTAGTTTTTGCTAGACAACCCCGTGACCTGTTGGATCATCCTTTCGGATATTTTCCTTACTAGACAGACAATGCAAGTTTAACTTCCCATCCACATTCCCACCATCAGTTGTAATCATGTGATACCCGTTGACTTTTTCCCTGGCTTCCCCACTGATTTGTGAGAAGGTTCCAGAGAAGGTTGCAAATGAGCAACACGTGACCATGAATAACAGCAGCACAATGGCACTGAAATGGCAAAAACTGTCCAAAATTTCATTCCCATGGGAGTAATGGATCCCAGTATTCTGTAAATTAGCTCATTTGAGGTATCTTGGTTGAACATTTTTTGCCCTATGATGCATTGTTTCACCCAGTTAAAGGTTACAGACTTGAGAGAGTTTTAGTGGTATACTAGATAACCTGTGACCCTTTGGGTCATCATTTCAGAGATATTTTCTTACCTAAAGAAAGAAACAGAATGACCATGAGCGGGAACAATTTCTGACTTCCTGTTGGCTTCCCCATTGAATTTCCTTCTGGGAACATGGCAGTGAGTGTCAAAGATCTATCTTCCTTCCTTCCTTCCTTCCTTCCTTCCTTCCTTCCTTCCTTCCTTCCAGAGGTTGTTCTTGACTTATGACCACCACTTAGCACAACAGTTTGAAGTTATGACAGATCTCCCAGGGATTCCAAATTTCTGATGGCCACTTGCCCTCCAGTCACATGACTGTATTTGAGGTGCTTGGCATCCATTTACAACCATTTGTAGCATCCTGCAGTCACACAATTGCGTTTTATGATGGTTTTGCCAAAAGTAGGCATTTACTTTCGATTTTTGACAAAACTGGCCCATAGCAAACCATTGGTTTGCTTAATGACTGCAGCAGTTACTTAATGGCTGTAGTGTTCACTTAATGACTGCCACAAAAAAGGTTATTAAGCCAACCAATTATGATATATCCAACCAATTATAGTGAAGCCCAGGCAATCAAATAACAAACCAACCGCTGAGGGGAAGAAGTCTGTTTCTCTCTCCAGCAATATTCCATGGTGCCCTTAATGAAATGTGCAATGAAAATAGGAAAAGTCTATTTTTCTTAGCCTGTTTTGTCCCATAAAAGTGAATAAACTTATTTGTTTGCACAGAGTAGGATTCTTCTCCACACAAGTGTTCTCTTCCATTCTGTAAATACAGAGGGCATATTTACGGAGTTTTTTTTCTTGATGGTCTAGTATAGAATGTTCTTCAGGATTGTCTTGAAATGTTTACAGTTCCTTTTATGGCAGTTGTTTCCACTCTTCCATCTTGTAAGTTATTTATATTTCAGTTGCCAAACAATTCCCAGCTTTCCATTCAATTATGATATGTCCTCCTCCTATAAGCACAAGCTGTCTTCCTGTCTACTGTTGTATGGGTTTGTGTGGGTGTCTATGCATTTATATTTCTTTTAAGAATAGAGCCTGAATTAATCAGAATTATCAAAGGTGTTACATCACTACAGGTAAGATAATTTTATATATATGAATTCTTTGCAAAAAAAAGAGTTAAAAAAGTTAAGAAAAAATCTGTTCCGAACATACATATGTAAAAAGAAATTTTTAAAAAAGCATTTATTGCCAAGCAAGGATCAGATTGTTGCCACTCATCCTTGTGCCCAAGTAGCTCAGGAAAAAAAGAGCAACAATAGAAATTGGTTCTCTTTGCTTCCCCCTTTTTATGGGAAGGAGACTAGAAACTAGCTTCCTGGAAATGGAATAACTTCCTTGAGCCCAGGAACAAGCTGATTGAATGAGGGAAGAGTTCTTCCAATGCATAGAAGGGTGTTTGGGGGTCAAAAAAATTAAAGATGATAACTACAACTACATGACTGAACCCTGGCCATACAACATACATAGAAAAAAGGCATGGCTTTGATTTTGTAGTTACACCTGTCTTGACTTTTTTGGCTCCCCCTGAATCCTTCTGCCAGTGTCCACAAGCTCCAGTCCCACAAATAAAAAATCCAGCTTTGCTCTGGTTTCAGATATAATGATAAACATCCCAAAGGTACTTTCTTCCAAAAAGCAACTGGACTTTCTTGTTTTGCTAGCAGACGTTTCGCTTCTCATTCAAGAAGCTTCTTCAGTTCTGACTGAATGGTGGAGAATGGAAGGATTTTATATTCTGTGGAATCTTGTGGTCATTAGCCCTCTTTCTGAGAATTGTTGAGGCTACTTGAAGGTTTATCTCTGCCCTCAGGCTCACCTGAATCCTGTAGTCTGTAATGTTTTTTTCCTGGAAATCCTTCCATACTCCTACACGATTTGAAGGGTGTTCATCCCAAATGGCATAGCTCAGGGGTCAGCAACCCATGGCTCCGGAGCTGCATGTGGCTCCTTCATCCCTCTGCTGCGGCTCCCTGTCACCCAAAATATGTGTCACAACCACCAATATGCGACACCCGCTGGCACACAATTTATTGAGGCCAACCATGGATAAATAAGCTTTTTTATACATAGCATAACAGTAAAAAATGATATATGCAGTGTTATCTTCATTTTAGATGTCAAAAGGGTTTTGTGGCTCCCAGTGTTTTCTTTTCTGTGGGAAACGGGTCCAAATGGCTCTTTGATGTTAAGGTTGCCGACCCCTGCATAGCTAAATGTCTGTGGAGATTCTCAGTCATCCAGATCATGGTTGTCCCGAAGGTGCTTTCTCCATAGACACTTAAAAACAAAGAGACAGGCAGCTTCTCAAAACAATCCAATGTCACCTAAGAGACAAGCCCAGATATGCTTTTGATGTGGACTAATTTTGAAACAGGTTAGGGTTAATTTATATTTGCTGAGAATATGGCTACCTGAGTAGACAAGTCTATTCTGGTGGTGCAGAATGAGTCATCTTAAATTCAGGTCACTTATAGGAGAATGCAATATTATAAATGCACTGTTATTATATATCTCATTTGCCAGAAAAGATATGTGATCAGTGTCCCAACCTATTTATTTTTTTCATGTATATTAAAAAGCTTTATGGTTCTTCTCACTGCAATCACAGAGGCATGAAGGAAAATGCCTGCCTCCTACCCCAGGCTGATCCTTAGCTCTAATAAGAAGTGAAAGTTATGGGAGTTAAAATTCAAAACCTCAGCAGGTCATCAGGGTGAGGAAAGCTAATTTACTTAGGTGGTTGTACAAAATAAAGCCATTTAGGGCATTGTTTTCACATTTTTCTTTCAATCGGCAAGTCTGTTACACACAGCCTTGGAAAGGAAGCAGGATGGAATTTACCAGAATACATAGGAAACAAAGAGCTTGCAATCATTTATTTCCTTAAACATCCACATTGCCAAAGCATTTAAGGTTGCTACGTGACAACGAAGAATTGCCAACTGCATAGGTACAAAATCTAAACACAGTATTCCTCATCTTAGTTTTCGCTAAACAGTTTCAGACTACATTTATTATTTATATGAGAAATGACATTAAGAAGCAATTTCTTGTCTTGCTGGTTTTTGCTGCTTTATGGATGCTTTATTTAAGAAAAGATAATAGGATGCTATTTTGACGTTTGATAACACCTTGGTTAATTTTTTCCAATTGAAATATCCCATCAATGAATGTTTTTTTATATATATACAATTTCAACAAAAATAGTACCTTAGCCTGATTTCTATCCAGAAATGTTCTGATGTGGTAATGTTCTGATGTGGTGATGCAGAACAGGATGTTATGTCAAATGCCACTGATACTACGTGACCCTTTTAACATCAGTAGAATCCCTGAAAATATGTCCTATTATATATTACAAGGAGAGCCAAACTTTCTGGCATCATGTTCCTATTTTCATATTTTAGGAACCCTTTTACTGTATCTCTTCACTTCTCATTTATCCCATGCTTTTTCTACCATTATTTTAGTCCATGTTTAAAGATAAAAACAATCACAACATTATATCATGTTTTATCTTAAATTTTAAACAATGTGTTTAAAGAAAAAAAGTTCTAATGAAAACATAATGTAACATTTTTGCTTGTTTGCTTGTTTATTCAATTTATATGGCTACCCATCTCACATATAAGAAATAAACCAGATTTAATGTAAAGGCTATTATTTTCTTCACAAGTTGGGAAAACCTAGCTTTTAGAGTGC